GCAGATACACAGCAGTTTCACAGCGGAGTCCTGCCACATATAGATATTTCATTAGATTATTGGTAACTCCTACATGCCTGTCTTTGTTAGTGATAGAAGTAAGCATTCGCAAGATAAACAAAAAACAATTCCTGACCTGATGTCTGCCTCTATCAGTGCTTTTGTGAATGCCGTTGGGCATAATTAATAAAAAAAACAATGGAAAAGAAATCATATTTGTATGTGATCGCAGCCAGTCACATTCTAGCTGTTATCTTTCTAGTAGACATGAAAAGGTTCAAAAAATGTGTTTTGTTTCAGATCAATTCAAATTTTTTATTTTGTATTGGAAATTTGATTCGGTTCGTTATTTGGAATTCGGATCGATACAAATTTTTCAATTTCGGCTTGGATTTATCCGAATTTTTCGTTTTTTTCAGTTCGGATCGATTCAAATTTTTTGTTTTCGGGTTGGATAAATTCAGATGGGGTTCTTTAATTAAAAATTAACTTAATTAAGAATACAAAATTTAGTTTTGTATTGGTCATCTTAGTCCATACTAGTCCTCTTAGTCCATACTGGTCCTCTTAGTCTGTACTGGTCATTTTAGTCTGTATTGGTCATTTTATCCATACTAGTCCTCTAATTCCATACTGGTCATCTTTGTCCATACTGGTCCTCTTAGTTCATACTGGTCATCTTCTTCTGTACTGGTCATCTTAGTCCGTACTAGTCCTCTTAGTCCATATTGATTATCTTAGTCCACACTGGTCCTCTTAGCTGTACTGGTCATCTTAGTCCGTACTAGTCCTCTTAGTCCATATTGATTATCTTAGTCCATATTGATTATCTTAGTCCATACTGGTCCTCTTAGCTGTACTGGTCATCTTAGTCCTAGTTCTCTTAGTCCATACTGGTCATTTTTGTCCGTAGTGGTCATCCTAGTCCATACTGTTTATTATCCTATTCCATGCTGGTCATCTTAGTCCGTACTGTTCATTAGAATTGGATATTTGGAAATTTGGAGAAACAAAATCGGATTCATTCGAATTCGGATGCATCCAACATTTTGGGTAAATTGGAATTTAAAAAATTTGAATAGATTCAAATGTCTGAATTTACAGAAATGTATTCTGAATTTCAATTTGGAACAAAACTTAGATGTCTACTTTCTAGCACTGTTGTGGAACTCCACATCCATGAGGCATTGTAAGATTGTCACAGCCAAAAGCATGACTCCCAGAGACAGTAGCATCATGGGATTTGTAGATTTACCAAAACTGGAAGGCCAAAGTTTGCCCACCCCTGCCTTACTACATCATAAGAAGTTGTCTTACTTCGAGCTTCCTGCTTCCTCTGTCTACAACTAAGCCCATGGAGGATGAAATGCATCAGACGGGAGGGATGGACTAGAGGCAGGGCTGTGCAGCACTGTCGAATCTCAATAAAGTTGAATTTACATAGTGGGAGCATCAGTGCATGGCTGACTGTGACTCTGGCACCTTTCCTGTGTCTGTTGTTTTCCTGTGTAGTTGTCCCGCAATCTTGTGTCATGGCTGCTATGTTTATGGCAGCAGCCACAGCTACTGCCCCAATGTTGATAGACGAAAAGATGGAGAAGAGAAAGCGAAAGTGGTGGGTTGGATCATACAGCAATGACCTCACCCTGACCATGCAAACAAAGGCTTCAACATACAGCATTCTGCTGCCTTGTCTCTCCATCTCCTCTGCAGCCCATGTAGAGTAAAAGCTGCAGGGAAAAAGCCCTGCATTACAACTGCATCAAAATAAAAGGTTTTCAATGACTTCAATTACAGTTTGTTTTATTTCTAAAGCAGCCACAGCCTCAGTAGAAAAGCCCATCTCCTGCCTGCTGAAAACTGAGACCCTTGCTAGGTGAGGGTAGCTAGTCATGTGATCCAGAAGTCCCTGCCAGACAGTGACCATTACCCTTCACTACAGCAACAAAGCTTGGTGGAGAGCAGGGCGGGATCTCATTAGGGGGGGCAGCAGGTGTGTGTGTGGGGGGGGATTTGCGGAGGGAGGCAGCCACAACATCCCAGGTTGCTAAGAGCTCTTAGCAACCTTTGACGCTCTGATCGGCTTCCCACCCAGCTCACTGACATCATCGGATTCCCAGGGAGCTGAGCGAGATGCTGTGGATAGTGTCCCGCCAAGCATCAGGCACCCGATGATATGTATGAGCCAGGCAGAATGGGCCATCCCACTGCACGCCTGGAAAAGCAATATGGATGGACCTGCTGGTGGGAGGACTCTGCCTCTGGAAATTCTGACTCTGGAAAAGTCATTGTTTTCATAGTCTACATGAGCAATATGGATGGACCTGGTGGTGGGAGAGGTCTTCTACTGGAAATTCTGACTCTGAGAAAGTCATTGTTTTCATAGTCTGCATAGGCAATATGGACGGACCTGGTGGTGGCAGGGGTCTTCCTGTGCAAATTCTGACTCTGAGAAAGTGACTGTTTTCATAGTCTGCATGGGCAATATGGGTGGACCTGGTGGTGGGAGGGGGACTATGGATGGAGGGGAACTCAAAGTGGCAATATGTTCTGATACCATATAGTGCCTTCATTTATCTTAACATGTCATTTCTGTTTGATTTTAAGCCCCATTCACGCTTGAGTTAGAGCAGTTGCAGGTGATTTTAAAATGTTTTTTTTTTGTGCATTTATGGTGTGTTCCTCCATTTTTCAGTCACTCCAATTGTGAGCAGGGCCAAAAATGTGTGATTTTGCCCTAAAAGAAGCTCATTTCATTTTTCAGGCTTTAGGCTACAAGCGACAGACAACACAGAATGGGATGAAAGTCATTATATTGAGCATTGTCACACTTGGGGAAACATGTGACAAAATGCTCAGGTGTGAATGAAGGCTTACCACCAACATCAAGCTTATGATACAAAGGACAGAAATGCTGTAACATCCTCCTTTCCAACCGGCTCATTCAGTACATGCTTTCCTTCACAGCTATCTATGCAATGGCGGCTCCTTATTAATGCGCATTGACCTCGTTATTCTATAAAAGGTGACATTTCAATGTTCTATTTAAGTTTACATTAAAGCTCACATCACAGAGAAATGTGATCTCCTGAAACCCATCGCACGCTGCCCCGCGCTCTGACCTGTGCGGTCTATCTACAAATCCAGGACATCCATAGAACAAATCACTTTCCGGCGAAAGCCAAATGGGCAATTCACTAAGTAATTAGAAGTGAAAATAGTGTTCGCGAACCACTGAACCTCCGATATTCCAATCTGCACATCAATAACAACTGACGTCAATCCAGATCGATGGCACTCTCCTTTCCGTATAATGTGGAACGCACAGAGCGATGATGAAGGATCTGATGAGATTCAGCCTATTCCTCATATGCAGGGTGTATATATTTAGTTGCTATGTTTTACAGATCTGTCTAAATTTATCTCTGCTCCCTGGACCCCTCCACGCAACTCCCCAAATACTCCCAGTGTTGGCGTCAGCAGGAAGATGAAAGGATGAGATGTATTTCACCTCTCCTCCTCACCTTATGTTCCACAGCAGAGGCTCACTCACTGCCGTCTATACCCACAAGGCCCCGGCTGCTCAGCTTGCTTGGGATTTTAAATGGAAGGATGCAGTGGACTGCAAGATGCTATGTATCAAGTTAATGTCAGGGTTTAGGGAATAAATGGAGCGTTGAAGACACACTAAGCAACTAAACTAAGAAATTCCTCTATCAGTAACCCTACAAGTACTATATATATATATTGATTTAAAAATGATGCAACACACAAGACATAATCTGTAACTTGCTGAGCATGCATTTGTCTTGAACCTCATGGACTGCATAAGGTGACGCATGACATTGGTTACATTATTATGGCTTGTCCAAAAAAAAGCAGCATTTTTATTGGTGCAGCTTTGTTTTCGTTTTTTGGATCTAAACGCCATTCTATTTTTTTTTGTGGTTTGCATGTAAAAATCCGGAAACGTATGCTGCATTCAGATCTGTAAAATAAAAATTGAATAAACAAATCTGTGCCCAAGGCCAGTATTATTATTACTAGTATTATTATTAATAGTAGTAGTAATAAATAATAATAATAAATAATAATAATAATAATTATTATTATACAGAACTTATATAGTCCCAACAGTTTGTGCCACGCTTTACAAAATGGAGGGAGACAGTACAGCTACAATACAATTTCAATACAGGAGGGTAGGGAGGGCCCTGCTCGTGTGAGCTTACAATCTAGTAATTTAGAGGCGTGCACATATAATTGTGTATAAACCCATGCACGTGTGTACACATGTACGTATGAAAGCTCACCAGAATGGAAGTTTTCATCGAAGATAAAAATCTTTATGGAGTAAACACATACTGTTAGTTCCTCCCCAGTGCGTGCTTAACACATTTCACCATCTGGATAGAACATTGCATAAACTTCTGGCTTCACCTTCTATGTTACTGTTAGTTCCTCCCCATGTGTTCTCAACCACTAACGCGTTTCACCATTCCGGCTTACTTCTAGAGATCTCTCTGAGTAAGCAGGGATGGGGAAACGCATTAGAGGTTGGAAACGCATGGGGAGGAACTAACAGTAAGGTGGTGCGCTTGTTTGCCTGGGTGCAATCACAGTGTGAGCCTCTTCTAGAATTTGTGTGGCTTTTGCTGTGGATTACCAAAGGCATGGAAGTTTTCTTAGACATTGTTATGCATCTAAATGCTTTGCGGACCTTTACACATCTATATGCATGGACCATTTCTTGCGTTGTTTTCACACAGGATCTTTTTTGCCGACTTGTGCAAGCGAGATTCTGTATAGATGATCAGCGAGTTCAGTTACAGCAGTGTGCATGGGGCCTTCACATAGAAGATGAAGCCAGACGTTTTAGCTGTGATAGGCAATGTTCTATCCGGATCTGAAATGGTTAACTCATCACGTTGGCAGGAGAGCGTGCAGTACCGCGGCCTGCCGGCAGATGGCGCACCTGTTATAGGTGTAATACAGCCCGTGGAACAATGCAGCCCCCCTTGTCAGCTGGCACAGCGCAGCGTACTGCCGGGTAGGGAGGTAAGGGCAGGTTGGTGGAGGAGAGGATGGAGCATGGTGGACCACTCCGGACCGGGGCTGGAACCTCGTCCCTGGCACATGAGTGAACCTTCCTCCGCTCAGGGTACGGCAGACGGCTGCTTGCTAAGTTATTTGCTTTACCTATGTGTGTGTTCGATCGCTGTAGACGTGTGTGCGGTGCCCGTCATCAGTCACTTCATGTGCCCATTACACGTGAACAATGGGGCTCCTCCGGGCACCCCGATCGTGTATACAATGTGATCATCGTGTATACGCTGTGCTGGGTATGCATTGGCTATGTGTCCCTGTTATACTGGATGTTGTTTGTGATTGTTATATGACAGATGTATAGATGGAGAGAGAGAGAGATCGATGTGTGTGTTTGTATCATTCATATCTATCTATCTATCTATCTATCTATCTATCTATCTATCAAATATATTACAGGCACCATGTTCCCTGCAATGAAGAATATCTGATTTAATTTGACTACATTAGTATAGGGTGATTTAGGCTTTCATATCATTAGGATGTTTATATGTCTGTACAGGAGGTAAGAGTGATCTTCTTCCATGCAATGTGTGTGACTTTGTATAGGTGAGTTGTCTCTCTCTGGATGGTCATGTGACTTTGTATACTGTTTATATACCTGCAGGTAATCATTCCATCAACTGACTGTATAGAAGGCATCCCAGTTGTTTGACTTCATGTCCCAGTATGAGATCTATGGTATAGACTTGTGAGTGTGTGCACTAAATCTTTATATACTATCTATCTATCTATCTATCTATCTATCTATCTATCTATCTATCTATCTATCTATCTAATAGGTACATGTAAGTCATATACATTGACATCTGTCACCCTACTTTATATATTAGGTACATATAAGGTTCATATGTTTACATGTATTTATTTATTTATTAATCTTTTCATTTGTAAATATTGTATTTGTTTTTTTTTTTACTTTGTTAATCACTATTCATATTTACTTGTGTAGGTTACAAGAAATTGGTATATTGTATATGATGGAGCAGTATATTGTGTAAAGAATTTGTGAGCTGTATGTGCAGTGGAGAGCTTATGCAGTGATAAGTAAAGGAGCTGCGTGTGTCATAACCTACAGCAGTCTACAAGAGTTTGTCTTTTATGGATCTGAGTTCAGTGATGGGTTAACATTGCTCTTTGCTTTACTTTCTAAGTCAGACGGTGTGAGGATGGTGTATAATAAGTGTGATAACTGTAAATCATAGCAAACAATGGAACCACGGAGTGTAGAAAAGACAGAGTGGTTGCTATGGGCAACAATAGAATTTTCCTATGGCACAGTTTCATAAATCAGGTCCTTGTTGTTTAGTGTGTGTTGCAGAATCTGTGAGCTGATTGTTGTTGTTGCACCTCTGACATGCTCCAGTAATACTCATCATACACAGTAGATGATGGTGTGTTGTGGTGACTCCACCAAGTATAGTTCTCTATTAGTCTGATAGAAGATAAACTCAGTCAGACTTGTTCAGTAAAGACGAGTGTGCTAAATGTAATATCTCAAACCAAGCATTTAGATATCATCTCCGCGGTACTGACTGCAGCAAATTGAAACGTGATTGGTTGCTATGAGCTCCTGCGCTTTGTATTTCACCATTATGAATTGTACAATTTACATGAATACCTTGTTTACATCCAGACACACGACAGCCATAGTGCAATTACCAAGGACGATCAGTGGAGATTTGGGGTCCCCCCCACTAGTGGCTGGGAGCTCTGCTCATGACAACAGCACCCTAGTTATTGATACAGCAAAGGGAAGTCTTTTCCCCTCCAGTGTCACTGTTGACTTTCTGCTCAGTATGCAGGAAATGGCCCTGATTAGGGCTCATAGGATTGGACGAATGCTTCACCGACTGGTCACTCACTGACACTAATATATGCAGTGTACCCAGATGGGTATTATTTATATCCAGATAACACAGCGTCTGCGCCAAAATCAAAACGTTTATTGAAAGTCGTCATTTGTTTTCAGCTGCTCCTTGACGTGTAAAAGTTTTAGCTTCCTGCAGAATTAGCTGGTCCCCTGAGCACCGGTCCTGATATCCTGTTTAGTGCCGGTTCACACCAGCTCCGGTGCGTTCCAGCACACACAGTGCCAATGCCCGCACCAGAACGCATGGTAAAACATTGCCTGCGTTCTCTGCAAGCACTACTTGCGCTGGAGGGCATTCATGTACCGTGTGTTCCGATGTGGGCGATCGCGCTGCGGGGGGGGGAGCTGTGATGCGTTGCCATTGACATGAGTGGTACAGCCACACCCCCTCCCGCCCCGGAACGCGATCCATGTGATCCACTGTGTTCCGGGCTCGGATCCTGCCGGATAGGGTGTGATAGAGCCCTTAGGGTGGCTCCATTACCTTACAGGGCCTTCTCCACTTTTATCAGTCCAGTACACACTTTGTTTAACCATGCCAGCCCCTGATGAAGGGGTATTCTTTGAAACCCCAAACTGAGTTGGCTTTTTATGATATAGGAGTCTAAATAAAATAAAATCTGCTCTCTGCGCTTTCCTCGTTGCACACACAGTCCCTATTCGAGCAAAGAGCCAACCATGCGTCACCACTCCTGGGAGAGCTGCCTAAAGACGATAATTCCGTCTATATTGATTAAAATCGTATTAAACTCTCAAACATGTGTTTACCAATATATCCAGATCAAACAAATATACATTGCCCAGTAAAGTATTTCTTTATATTTGTTGCCCAGCACTTACAGTCATCATGTTCTTGAACAGCTCCAACTCTCTCAGCTCAACTTCACTGATCTTCCTGTATAAGATCACAAGGGACAGAGGAATCTCCAGCACATGTTCATCTTCTAGCTTGGAGTAGGGAGCTGGGGAGTTTTTTTGCCTTGCCGTGTATTTGTGGGGACATACACAGCTCACTAGCACACACAAGAGTGGCTCCATAGGGCCCTGCGAGGGAAAGGAGCCACCCAAAAACAGGATATCAGGACAAGGGAAGGGAACCAGCTGATTCTGCAGGACACTAAGAGGGTTATTCACTAAAGCTGAGGGATTAAGCCGAAGATTCAGCGAATCCTTCGGCTCACTTCGGCCGCTGGAGCCCTTCGGTTCAGACGAACCAAAGGGCAACTGTATGGGCTATTCACAATAGCCTGTACAGCAACTGAAGGTGGCCGAACAGCTCGCCCACGCCAAATGCATATGCTTCAGGTGAAGCGGGGTGCTCGGTCTGCCGAAGCCCCTCTGCCTGCAGGCACCCACAACCAACGGGTCAGGGCTTGTGGAGAAGTGGCCCTTGTCCCTATTTCCACGGGATAAGGTGCTTTTCCAGGGGGGACACCCCTCTCAGTTCTGAGGAGAGGACATGCGGCCTGGTATGGCAGGGAGAAAGGGGCTCGCCCCCTTTCCTGCCCTTCCAGGCTGCTGCCCGGATTAAGGGTCTGGTTGGGAATTTTAGGGGGGACCCACACATTTTTCTCCCCCTTGGTATGACTTTGGGGGGGACCCCCACCCTTTTTGTTATTTTTAACGGGGGGGGGGGGGGGGGTGTCCCCTTCTAACTTTCCTACTAGACCTAAAGGGTCTTGTATGGATCTATTGTAAATCAGCATTCGAAATAGCTTAAAATGCTTTTGACTTGAATGTCCCTTTAAGACCTGTGTGAGAACACCTACTACTTTAAGAGACTCGGCACCCTACGCCTTTCTTCTACTTCCCTTTAACAAATCAGGCATTACAAATACATGGTTTTCACGCTAACATGGAGTCCGAAGCATCCAATGGATTAATTTCAGTTTTCAGGAACACTTGTAATCTCTGGAAAGTGTCAGCAATTTCATAAATACAGGGGAAAGAAGAGTGACAAATACACCCACTGTTCCTGTCTGCTCTGAAACAATGTCATTTTTCTTCACAAGTGACAAACATTTAAAGAAACATTGTCACTTTACGCAATCAGAGCAAAGAGACCATGTCTGGTCGCTGCCGTGGTCTGGGAGCCCACCCACCGAGGCTTTCATACTTAAAGCGCAACTCCAGGATTTTGAAAGGTTAACCCTCGCAGTGGGGCTACCCCCGCACTGCAAGGGTTAAGTGTTCATTTTGGTCTAGGGGTGAAAATAAAGAAAAGATAGTCACCTGATCCTCGAGCATACCACAGCCGAAGCAGAGGGGGCGAGAGGTGAATGGTCAATCATGTTGTGACACCAAAAGTAAAAGTCACACCATAGCGTTGTGTTAATTGTACAATATCGTGGTATTAACGTAAGCTGTCCCACAGGACATCTAGCATGCATTATATGCATTCCTTTTTTTTCACCGCAACGTGCGGTACTGTGGTAGCACGCATTGCCCTGCGCCGCAACACACAGCGTCTTGGAGGTGGGTTGGGGTTTCATTCAAATGAATGGCAGCCCAACGCCCGTTAGCGCCCGGTAATGCAAGCTAGGTGCACTGTGCAATAGCGTGCGTTATCAGCACTGTATCGCGCAATTAACGCAGCACTTATGGTATAAATGGGCCCTCAGGGCTTGTTCACACCATGTCCAGACCAGATCCGGACCAGAATGGTTGTTTGTCCTTACCTAAAATGCATCCCAATGTATTCCTATGGAATTTCTGGGCTCTATTCACACCAGTGCAGTCCGTTCTGGTGTGGGGAAAACAAAAACTGCATGCACTATTTTTTCTGGTCTGGAACCCACCAAAACGTATGTAAATGCATCAAAAACACATGCAAACGCACTGAGACGCACCTGAAAGCCCATTTAAAGCCGTAAAAAGTGCACTCAGATCTGGTCCGGACATGGTGTGGACAAGCCCTCAATCCCAAGTTTTGCGTTGTCAGGAGAACAGGAAATCTTCCATTGAGGACACTAGTTCTGGTGACCCTGCTGACCACCAGGGTCTTCCTTCACTTTGGAGGGATTTCCTCTAATTTCCTGTTGTGGCTATTGGACAGGAAGTAAATGGAAATCTGGTATATGTGAGGGCGTCTGCGGGGCTTAGACCGTCGGAGCCCAGGGGAGTAGAGGCGGTGGGGACCGGTCTAACAGCCAAGTGGCATTAAGGATTGAGTGAGT